GGATGCAATGTGGGGGATAGAGTATTTGGGTTGAAAATACCATAGGAAAATGTCATTTTTAGTTTAGATGGTAGGACATTGTGATACTGACAGCAAGGAAAACAAGCTGGGTTTTTGGAGAGGTTGTTTTGTTGTTCAAAATTTTTTTGCATTTTCTAAGATTATGAATATGAAACAGCTATTAGTATTTCAGAATTATTCAGATAAAATCAATCAAGATAGATGATTTCTTCTTTTTGTTTGTTTGCTTAAGACAGGGTCACACTACCCCATTTTCCCCAAAATAAGATATAACTGGAAAATAAGCCCTCGCATGATTTTTCAGGATTCTTGTAACGTCAGCCCTACCTGAAAAATAAGCAGGGCTGCACACACCTGTAATCTCAGCACTCGGGAGGCTGAGGCAAGAGAATTGCTGAGTTCAAGGCCAGCCTGGGTTATATAGTGAGTTCACGGCCAGTCTATACTACATAGTGAGACACTGTCCCTGGAAGGGAGGGAAGGAGAGAGAGAGAGAACAAGACAAAGAGAGAGAATAAGAAAGAGAAAGAGAAGGAGAAAGAAAATTATAAATGAGCCATAAAATTTTACTCAATGGTTTGTGAATTCTCTATTACTTGAGTTTTGTATCTTCTAGGAGTGAATGAAGTGTTTTATTTAGAAGATACAGAAATAAAAATACAGATAATTATAATAATTGAATGGTATAGCTGGGCGTGGCAGTGCACACCTGTAATCCCAGCACTCGGGAGGCTGAGACAGGAGGATTATTGCGAGTTAGAGACCAGCCTGGGCTACAAAGTGAGCTCAAGGCCACCCTGAACTGCACGGTGAGACCCTGTCTCAAAAATACAAATAATAATAATAATAATAATAATTGAATGATATATTCTATTTTGTATTTCATGGTAAGAAATTACTTAGAAAGTACCTGTGAAGTTTTTAAGTGAAAAGTAATGCCTAGTGGAATTTATGATATACTACAATAAAATGTCTGTGGAATTATAGTTAGTTTTCTTTTTCCCTATGTTGGTATAATATATACTGCTGTGTATTGTTTGTATTTCCTGAGAATACTAAATTGTTTTAGGAAAACTGATAACATATAATCTGGAAGAAGTAGTATGAATAAGTAAAAATGTGACAGCAGACTTTTAAATTGGCTTAAACTTAGAAACTGAGAAAAATTTGCTATAACAGAGCATTACCTACTAGTTATTCTTGGACTCCATAATCTTTCAGGAACCAAATATTCAGTCGACCTGCAGCCAGCACATTTTTCCAGCAGTGATGCCAAGTATGATGACTATCGAGTCTGAAGTGTTTTCAACAAAACAATACTGGCTCTTTGGTGCAGAACTATATTGGCATATTAGAGATACCAGGCACTTGGTTTTAGAATATTTTATATGGAGCCATGGCCTGGAGTTCACTAGCTGATTTAGATAGTTAATGAGAAGATGAATAAGTCAGTTATTTCTAGACATTTTTTTAAAGTTTAAAATCTTTAGCTGCCTTATGGTAGCATTATGTTTGGAGTTAAAAAGAAAAAAACAAGGTAAACTCTTCATATTTGAAACAAGATAAAAGTACTTACAAATGGATGTTCCAGTGTTGTCTGTATCTGATACCAAGGAGAGTCCATTGTTTAACTGTTATTTGTGCTGCTGCAGCAACCTCTCACCTCCTGCTACTTTTTGGGCTTGAACCCAAAGCCTTCACACTGAGCTTCATCCTCTACTTCTGTGTTGGTTTACTTGATTTGATTGTATATTTCAGTGAAAAAGAATACCCATGAATATGCTGCCAGCCCCAACTTCTTTCCACTCTTCCCTTGCCCTTCTGGTTTCTTAACAAGGAAGCCACTCTCCTAAAATTTATACTTACTGATCTTTTCTTTTGTTCTATGACATATGCTTTTCATTTTAACTGTAACACAATTCTCACCTTTTTTTTATTAGTAAAAGCTATCTCATAAGATTGTTTTAAGATTAGATGAGAAAAATATATACAGTGAGATTTTTCGTAGTGCCAGGCCCCTCAAAATGCTCAGTGTGTGGTAGGTGTATATAGTTGTGTGTTAACTAATGGTGTTCGCTGAGTGAGTGAGAAGAGCAAGCAAAACATTTGTCTTTTTCTAGCCGTTTCCTTTATTTGTCTCTGTGAACTTTTCTGGCAAAAGTGAGAGAGGATGTAGGGTTTTAAGGTCTTGTCATCTCTTCCTGAAACAATCAGTAACAGAAGGAAGCAGTGGAAAGTGGGGTTTGGGTGTTCCGCAGCACTAGTAAGTTATCAATTTTTTCTTTCTTACTGTCCTGTGTCCCCAGGATAGCATTTTTGTCTAGTTCGACTTGGTCCACTCTAGTGAAATTCCTCTTTCATAGCCAGTGTTGAATATTGAAGAAAAAAAGAACTGAATTAACCAAGAAATAATTGGTGACATAAATGAATCAATTAGTTTGCATGTTTACTTAACCAGTACACATATATTGGGATTTTGGTCAACTAAAATTCATAATGAACCATAGGTGGGTTGATAAAACATTATTTTACAAAATACTAACAACATTAACAGGAAACAGTCACCTTAGTTGGCAGACTGAGGAAGAGGAAAAGAGTGAATGCATGTAAGTGCTGTGCACTTTTTAGTATGTTAATAGTATATTAAGATTATTAATTCTAGCCTGGCGTGGTGGTGCATGCCTGTAATCCTAGCACTTGGGAGGCTGAGGCAGGAGGATCACTGCTAATTTGAGGCCAGCCTGGGCTACACAATGAACTCAAGGCCAACCTGAACTACATAGTAAGATCCTGTATCAAAAATCATTTATTCTTACTATATTAATCTGAATTAAATTTTACCTTATTTCTTTGGGTATATATTCCATTCTTCAGGATCTGTGATAAACTGTGGCAATATATTTTAGCTAATCCCAGCACTCTTGAGTAGGTGAAGCAAAAGGATCATAAGTTCCAACCTAGCCTGGGCAATTTAGCAATTTAGTGAGAGCCTGTCTCAAAATAAAAAATAAAACGTGCTTGAGATAGCATTGTGAAGGTTCTGGGTTCAATTCCCAGTTACCCTACCCTACCCGTGTGTGCCAAATATACATATGTGTGCATGCACCCAAGTGTTGGTCTGTGTCCATCCCTGTTAAGCCTCTGTCATTTGCAAATTAAAAATCTTTGTTCAAGTTGATACAGTAACCATTTTCCTTTTCAGATGGAACACATACATTTTTGAGTCCTTGCTTTTGGTTAGAAGTCAGCCTTTTTTTTTTCTTCTTCAAACTTCCTTTTTGTTTGGACCCCCCACCCCCACACCCCAAAAAAAGATTTGAGTGTTTCTCTTTGTATCAGAAGAACTTCTGGGTTTCAGCATGGTAATGATGCCATATAATTAGATTCTATTTCCCCTCCTGTATTATTTGAGAGAAAGAAGTAATTTCCTTAAATGTTTAGCAACATTTTAACAAGCTGAAATTTCAGCTAGGTATATCTATTCAGATAGTTGGTAGATTTGCCAAATGCTTTCAAGATGAACATTTCAAGTATTAGATAACATGGTTTTTTATTTGTGGTACCTTGTGCATGTTAGAAAGGCACTCTGCCTCTGAGCTGTATCTCCAGCCCAGATAATAGGGTTTTTGAAAATAAACTTTTAAATTTATTCTTTATTGTGAATAAAAATTATTTAAGAGTACAGTATCTAATTTTAGCTTTCCTTCTTGGCTTTCCTGATCCCTCTCTGCATCAAAGTTAGGATTAACTGGAGGATCAAGGTAGTTATCAATTCAGTAATTATTACCAAGGATAAAATGTCTTACAATGCTACTTTTGTTTTTCAGTCACTCATGAAGATAATTAATAATCTTTAGTTGCTGGAGTTTTTGGTTTCTTAGACTAGTAGGCAAGTCCTGTAAACTTTGTGCTTCAGTTCTTCTGAAAATAGGCATATACTTCTAATTGGTCTTTTGAAGTTCCTGGCAATACTGATTCTAGTACCTTTAGAGACTATTTTGAAAATTATTTGTATCCAAAAAAGAAGAATGATATTCATAAGTTTATAGTAGATAAATCTAATTTTATGAACAATTAAAAGTATTATAAAATACTTTGTGAAGATAGGGGATTCTTTAATCTGGGATATAAAAATAATCATAAAAAAGTAATCGTAATCTTAAGTAGGTGTTTATGCTTTTTGATTTAAGAGTATCCTATACTTTGAGTATACTTTCCAGGTGACTTAATGTAGGAGAAGTAGTTTCTTGAGCTATGACATTCCCTTCAGCTTCTTTAGGAGGGAAAAGTGAAGTATGATAGTGATGAATTAAAATATCTTCATTAAAGGGTATTGAATAAAAGCAGAAATAAAATAATGTAATGATTAGAGATGCCAGTTTAAATCTGATGCAGTTGCTATTTCATATGTAAAGGATGGCAGGTACTGTTACAAAGGAAGATTTTGGACTATCTTGGGATTTTTTTTTTTTCCACATTTCTTCTGGTTTTACTCAGTTTTAAAATTTAATGACTTTTTTGTGTGCCAGATTTGGTAGTATAGTACATGCCTGTTATCCCAGCACTCTGTAAGGTTGAGGCAAGAGAATTGCAAGTGAGAGTACAACCTGTGCATCTTACCAAGACCTTGTCTCAAAATAAAAAATAAAATAGGGCTGGGGATGTAACCCAGTGTGAAGTCCCTGGATTTAATTTCCAGTGCTGCAAAGAAAAGAAAATAAATAACTTTTTCTAGAGACTATCTTGAACATAAGGAATAGAGCCAAAAAATAAAACCAGGGAGCAGAACTGATGGAAAATTTATTCTTCAGTTTGTAATAAAATCATATGTTAAAAATTTACTAAGTTTTTTGGAACATTCATATGTAGGGTTGATTTTTGTGAAAATATTTCTCATGAGAGAAAAGACATTTTATGTGCATATAATTAGGTTGCTGACTGACTTAAATTTCTTTTTCTCTTCCTATTTCCCCCTATAGAATCTGTCTATGATCTTCTCCCAAAGGAGTTACAGTTACCTCCATCTAGAGAAACATCTGTAGCATCAATGAGTCAGACAAGCGGCGGTGAGGCAGGCTCGCCTCCTCCGGCTGTAGTTGCTGCTGGTATGCATTTCATTTTATTCTATTAAAGAAAACCTAGGGTACTATCTGGCCAACATGAACAGTGCTGGCAGAATTCATGTCAAAAGCAGTGTGATTTGAGGGTTTGTTTAGTAAGTTTTAGAATGTTTTTCTTTAACGTTACAATTTTTCAATACAATTTTCTTGATGCAATTATTATTTCTTCATTTCACATTGGCACATCTGTAAGTGCTATCTTCTAAAATGTACTTTGTTGTCAAATATGGAAATGTTTACAACTTTCATTGACTGCACAAAGGTTAAATATAAGCTATGAATAGAAAATTATATCTGAGTGTCTATTTAACAATTATGTTTAAAGATCTGCTGAAAGGGAAACATTTTGTGTGTTCTGAAAAAAGGACTCGAACTCTGAAGTCTCTTTTCTGTTTGCAGCATGTTGCTGTAGTCTTTTCCCTATATTTAAAAATATTTGCAACATAGTAATACAAGGTTTGAATACATTTATATGGATATTTTTATCAGTGAAAAGGTATGGAAAGAATGTTTGAAATTTATCATTTATTTTTACTCAGCCCTCAAATCATACTTTATAACTATGTAAGATTGGTTCAGATGTTTATTTTGAAATAGAATAAAAGATTGACAGATAAGCTAACAGGGAAAAAATGTGTTAGTAATAAATTAGCCCCCCCAACTGTAATGTTTTTTTCCCAGTTGGTTGGGTATATAGGTTACTAACTGTTTGCTTTAGAAAAAGGGAAAATTACACATTTTGAAGTTTTACCTGTCATTGTAATGAGAGGTTTCTTGCCTAGTATGATACCTCTCATCTTTTAAAATAGTACTTAACATCCATCAGAGCATTGTTTTCAGTAAATTCTTTCAGTTTCAAAAAGAGAACAGTGAACTGGAAATTTGGATTTAAATGAGGCAGTTGGTACTATAACTTAAGGTATTTTTCTCATATAATCTATGTACCATTAACCTGTGTACCAATCTTGCCCGAACTGTATACTGTGGTATAAGTCCTTCCTGGTTGAGGACAAGAAACTTTAACTATGGCAAAGAAACTTATTTGTCTTGCTCACTGTTCATGCGTTGCCAGACATTTTCTAACAGTTACTGTGGATTTAACTGTGAGTTAGTGAACTTTTTAGTGATCAAATTGATAAGATGACCTGGTTCACTTTTTATCTTCTTCAGTTCTAAGATGGAGTCTGAATATTTTTCTGGAATTTAAAGTTTTAAATCTGTTTTTAAAATTGTATGAAATAACAAAATATGAAATATTTCCATGAGATACTTCACTTTAAATCCACATGTAGAAATTGACTAACTGACTTATTTTGTATCTTTTGAAATTGTTTTTTAAAGACATGTTGAATCTGTATAGAACTAAAAGTCTGTTTCTTTTGTGCTTTTTAACATCTGTTTTCAGTAGATCCAGTTCCTTTTAAAAGCTGAAAAAAATGTTAGGTTTGGAAAAAGAACAGTTCTCCCTTGTAAATAATTCTAAACTCAACTTCAGAAATTCTAATATAGAAGTATTAAAATTTACTGATTTTGGGTCACTAACAGAATGTTAGCCCTCTCCCCTCATATAGTTGAAATCATCTCCAGATTTATAAATTAGATAGCAATGAATTTAAAAATCATGAAAATGAGAATTTTGACCAAGGAAAATATTCTGAAACAATAAATTTTTAGTATTTGACATTTTTGACTTTATAAGGATGGTGAAAAGAGTAAGGACTTGAAAGTTTTGTTATATTCTCACAGATTCTATGATCTCAACCACATATTTGTAACCTATTTTTTCATGGTTTACTTTTAGTAACTACCATAGTTTATCCTGCCATTCTAATGTCTTATTGGGACAAAGATTCCTTTATTACATACCATTATAGATTAGACAGTTTAAATTACAGATAATTATTGTAGGGAAATAAGTATATATCGTTAGTCACATTTTTATTTGACATGTTAATACTCATGGTGACATGATTATCAAAGAAATTGATTTATAGTATATTACCAAGTTGCTCATTTTTTTTTTCTTTTTTTTGCCAAAAGACTAGATACCTTGGGAAATGCACATTATTTTAAACTTCCATAAGTTAAAAAAAGCATAGCTTTTGCTATTTAAATATGAAATGCAACTGGGCGTGGTAGCACATGCCTGTAATCCCAGCACTCAGGAGGCTGAGGCTGGAGGATCACTGTGAGTTTGCGGCCAGCTTGCGCTACTTAGTGAGCTCAAGGCCAGGCTGAACTACACAGTGAGACCCTGTCTCCAAAAAAAAAAAGAAATGCATAAAAATGATTACTCTTGATGTAGTTAATTCTTCAGAGTTTTGAAGGAGCTGGATTGGCTGCTATCAGGTATGAGGGCCTGGTGGGAACAGACTTCTAGTTCTGCCATAAAGGTTTGTGTTTAACAAGTTTTAAATCAATTTACATTTTAAAGTATAGGGGCTGGTCATATGGGTGTTCATGGACATTCTTTGTTATTTTGTTATTTCAGATGTGTTTCTCAGATTCACCAATGTAGATTTTTTTTTCCTTCTTCACGTAAAACTGAGGGCATAAATAAATATGATGCTGCTAATCCACAATCCAGAATATTGGGTAAAGGAGTGTCTCAAGCTTCTCAATCTATGCCTTTACACACTTCCATCAACGTTTTAACTATGGATGGTAGCACATATCTGTAACACCAGCACTCTAGGAGGCTAAGGTAGGAGAATTGCAAGTGTTAAAGCCAGTTTGGGCAGTTTAATGACTTATTGAGATCCCCTATCTGAAAAATTAATAAAAGAGCTGGGGATGTAGCTTAGTGCAAAGGTCCTGGGTTCACTCCCTAGTACCACCAACCAACCAACCAAACAGAAAACTTTTTATTCTGTGAGTCCTTGGGACAGGGTTAGGGAAAGAGGTGCTTATATGTAATTCCTCTACTTTCCACCACGCCATGTCGGAACCTAGAGGGTATAGTTGAGTGTTACCAGTTAAAATTTGTTTACCTTCCCATTTTTAAGAATTCTGTTTTTGTCCTGTGAAAGCTAGAGAGTTTAAGACTCAGTATGTCAATGAAGGAATCTTTAGAAATAAAAACTTAAACCAGTTTTGTAGGTTCATGGTAGTTAAGACAGAGGCCATTTTTGTTAAAAAAAAAAAATTACCTAGGGCTGGGGATTTAGCTCAGCGGCAAAGCGCCTGCCTGGCAAGCGCAAGGTCGTGAGTTCGGTTCCCGGTACCGGAGAAAAACCAAAAAAAAAAAAAAAAAAAAAAAAAAATTACCTAAATGAGTTGATGGTATTCTTTTGGCAAATAAGGAGTTAATTAAGAAATGCAAGTCATAAAATGATTCTTTTGTTTACATTTTGAAGAATTCTATAGTAACATTAGATAATACTAAAATGTAGGTATTATGTAGAGGAACTATTAGACTTAGGGATTTTGAAAAGAGGTATTTTTTTTTTTTTTTTTTTTTGGTTTTTCTCCGGTACCAGGAACCGAACCCACGACCTTGCGCTTGCCAGGCAGGCGCTTTTGCCGCTGAGCTAAATCGAAAAGAGGTATTTTTAAAAATAACTTTATTGAGATATAATTCACAAGCTATTCACCAAAAAACAGAAAAATTCAGTGCCATTCAGTCAAGTATTATTTTTAATGAATTGTATGTTTAGGATTATCTTTAGATTTCTTTATTTATACTAATACTTTGAAATGTTTCACGGAAGTCAGAAATACTCTTTTGTCTTCATTTTACAAAGTCAGATTATTTTACTCTATCCTACACTATATGTTTGTCTTTTTTTGTTGTTATTGTTGCTGGGAGTCGACCGCAGGGCCTCACGTTTGCCAGGCAACGTTGTGCTGCTGAGCTATATCCCCAGCCCTGTATGTTTGTCTTGATTTGGGGATATGATATTATCTATATTGGCTTATACCAAAATACAATTTTTTTTTTTTTTTTTTTTTTTTTTGGTCTTTTCTTCCGGTACCAGGAATCGAACTCACGACCTTGCGCTTGCCAGGCAGGCGCTTTGCTGCTGAGCTAAATCCCCAGCCCCCAAAATACAATATTTTGCTAAGTGACTGTTTCTTTTTTTGAGACAGGGTCTCATGAATAGTTCATTCTGACCTTGAACGTACTATGTAGCTCAGGCTGCCCTCATACTCACAGTGATCTTCCTGCCTCAGCCTCCCCAGTGCTGGGATTACAGGTGCACACCACCATGTCCAGCTCTAACTGACTATTTCAAATATTCTTTAAGGTTTTTTTTTTTCAAATTCTTGAGCTAAACAGTGAATTAGCCAGGGATATAGCTCAGTAGCACAGTGCCTTCCTGGCAGGTGTAAGGTCATGAGTTTGATTTCTGGTACCAAAAAAAAACTTCTAAAAAGTGAATTAGTCAAACTGCAAGGTTTTATAATTCAGCCAGAGCATCTTAGCAACTAATTTATAATTTTTTATTTTCATAAAGTTGATATTTTACTTCAATAATTATGTATTAGTATTCTTTTTAAAAATACCATAATCTTAGTACACTAATACTTTGAAGCAATTTTTAACTAATATAACAAAATAAATACAATGGAAATCTGTTGAATATGCAGTAATTGGATCTTTGTAGAGTTTTAGGCTGAAAGTGAGGTTCATAACTTTACGTAAATAGATCCATATAAGAAAGCTTTCCTTTGGGAAGAGTCTTACTAAATAATAGATAGTGCTTTGAATTCTGTGTGTGGCAATTAATAAATCTTATGTAATAGGTATTTTACACGTTGAATGAACCTAATTGAATGTAATTTACACTGTAGGAGAGGGCACTACAGCACTAAATAATGTTCTATAACAAAAGAACAGGTAGTTTTATTCTTAGATTTTTTTAATCATTAAATTAAAACCAGAGGAATTTCTTCATCCATAACAAGAAAACTGTACAAAAAATAAGGTGAAGAAAATGTGTTATCATTTTTAGTTCCCTCTGTTTGAAAGGAATTGTACTAGACAGTTTACTTATCATTGTATGTAACCCTGTCTCAATCTTTGTAGCCACAAGGAGATACCTCTCTCCTGTACTACTGAAATCTTAGTTCTTTGCCCTTTGCCATTGTACTTTAGGGAATTTAATATTGTGTGCTGTCACTTGCATTAGGGATACATAACATGCTAGACTAGGTGGTATAAGATATTGAGTTAAAAAGCCACCTCTTTTTTCTACAACTATTAGTATTTGAAAATGAGAATATGATATTCTAGAAGAATATTCATTTTTAATAAAAGCAATTTTAGCAAAATTATATATCCCATTGAATTATTTTATTAACTTGTATTCAGAAGCATTTACTAGCTAGGTCTGGTGCCACAGGCCTGTAATCCCCAGGACTCTGGGAGGCTAAGGCAGGAGAATTGCAAGTTTTAGCCTAGTTTAAGCAACTTAGTGATTTATAAGACCATGTCTCAAAAAAATGAAAGTAAGCAAGTAAGACAGCCAGCCTGTATGCATATGGGTTGTGGGGGCAACAGATAGATCTGCTATGTAATTTGGATTTCTTTTTTTTAGACAGGGTCTCGCTGTATAGTGCAGACTGCCTTGAACTTGCTGTGTAGCCCAGGCTGGCCTCAAACTTGGAGTGATCCTCCTGCCTCAGCCTCCCAAGTGCTGGGATTACACTCATGTGCCACCACACCGGGCTGTAATTTGGATTTTCATAAGTTGATTAAAGGATTTTCTTTAGCTGAGAAATCAGTAATTTTGAACACCTTGTAGTTGGTATTTGTAAGATTAAGCTGTTAACAGGAAAGATAATTCACCTATTGATAATGTGAGTTAAAATGTTTGTGCATTGATACTAATCATTCCATATGGCCATTCTGATCATTTTTGTTTTTGTTTTGTATGAGTTTATACTTCTTGGCATCTTTCCTTGGGTCTTCCACAATGTAATAAATTATCAACTAGTATAATTTCTTTTTTACATGAAGTTATTTGAGGCAGAGAATTGTGAGTGAGCTTTAGTTTCTTTATCCAATATTGACCAGTGATGCTACCTAAATGATGGAAACATCTTTTTCTTTCAGAAGGAAAGAATTTTTGGCCGGGCGTGGTGGTGCACCCCTGTAATCCCAGCACCCGAGAGGCTGAGGCAGGAGGATCGTTGTGAGTTTGAGACCAGCCTGGGCTACAAAGTGAGCTCAAGGCCAGCCTGAACTGCAGAGTGAGACCCTGTTTCAAAAAGACCAAAAAAAAAAAAAGAAGGAAAAAATTTTTAAAGGATTTACAAATCAAATTATTGGACTGACGATATAGTTCTTTGGTAGAGCTTTTGCCTAGCATGTATGGTCCTGGATTTCCTTTCCACTACTAGAAAAGCAAACAAAAAACAAAATCAGATTATTCATGTGTACTTTTTAGATACTTTGATTTGAATAGGACAACAGATAGATTAATTTTTAGGGAGCAAGTTTTAGTAAATATTCTATGGGCATATTGCATTCTGACAATGTAAAAATAATTATAGGCATGCATTACTTAACAACAGATACATTCTGAAAGATGCATCATTTGGCAATTTCCTTGTTATGTGAAGATCATAGAATATACCTAACATGATCTAAAGTGGCTGTGTCAGTAGGCAATATAATCTTACAGGACCCCAATTACATATATAGTCCTTTGTTGACCAGAAAGTCATATTATATGGCACATGATGTATTTTAGAAGAATTCAGATTAAAAAGTAGAAAGTAATTATTTTATGGTATTTGAACTCTCTGAATCATTATTTGGTGGCCTAAGGAAGGAAAAAATGGTCTCTAATAAATGAATAGCAAACTTTTCAGCTTCAACTGTAGTGTTAATTATTTTTTAAAATGGAATCTTATGAATGAGGCATTTAATGCACAGTAGCATATCTAATTTAGAATTATAAATTGGTAACTTTATTGAGGGAAGATAAGGAAGTATATGGGAATCAAGATGGCCTGAGAAATGTAAAAATTCTTTTACTGGAGATTATAGACATTTCTTTCTTCCTTTTTTTTTCTTTTCTTTGTTTTTTTTTGAGACAAGGTTTTGCTATTCAGTTCAGGCTGGGCTTGAACTCACTTTGTAGTCAGGCTGGCCTCAAACTTGAAGCAGTCCTCCTGCCTCAGCCTCTCAAGTGCTGGCATTACAGGCGTGTGCCACCACACTTGGCTTGATGATAGGTTATTTCTTACGATGTGAATTTACTGTTCAGAACATATCTTTTTCTACTCTTGAAGAGATTTTGGATAAATGCACAGCCTAAAACAACATGTGAAAGAACATTCTGGTTTTTGGATTAGATTGCATTTGTAAACAGGAGAACAAATTGGTGAATATGAGTTAACAACAGTTTAGGGTAATTTTCCCACATGCTTATTTGGATGTTAAATTTTTAATTTTCAACAAAGTTTTTAAAAACCATTGCTTATTATAGCATGTGAACTTACATTGGGTGGGAAAAACTCAAATGGAAAATTGAAACTGTTTTAACATGTAAATTAAATGATCGACCCTACATTTTTGGTGTTTCTTGTTTTGTTTTGGTTTGGTTTTGGTTTTGGTTTTTGGGTTTTTTTGGTAAAGTAATCTGCATTGCTTATTTTATGTGCTGGGATGCTAGTTGTTTTTTCTATTAATACACTTAACTTGCATTCTAGCTTCGCCATTCAGAGACAGGCATCGTGTGGTGGGTTGTGTGA